CAAACCAAGTCAAACCAAATCACTAGTTGGGTTTTTTATTCGATTTGCGTTTGGTTTGGTTTTCAGTTTTCGATTCGATTTTGTACACCCCTATTCATAAGTAAAGGAAACTGCTTCAAGCAACAACTATCTAATGAAAAGAGAACGAAAAATAAATTTGGAGGAACATTTTTTATCGATTTAATCAAAATTGAATGAATCATTAATTCATAAATTGCAAATAAAAAATTGATAATAAATATTTTGAACAAAGAAGTATCGATAGATATTCTTCGACCTTCGGACTGAAATTTTGTAAACAACAGTAACTAAATCATGTATATTACGGGATTACAACCCCATGTACTTTTTGACCATAGTTAATTTAAAAAAAAAATAACAGTTACATGCATATTAATCATTATTATTTGTTCATAGGATTCTTATGGGCATGTTAGAATCTCTGTCACCTTTCTTCATTCTGCCATCAATAAAAGTCACTTAAGTGAAATGGTCCATTGTAAAGTCTTGAGAATAAATAATTAAACATGTGTATATAATGCCAAAAGTGCACCTATAATGCCGAAAGTGCACCTACGTAAACTCAACAACATAATTTTTTCTTTGATATTCATATTAAAATCGGACTAATTTAAATTCAAATTGAATAGAATTTCATTCGAAAGATAGTGCTCCTTATTAAGATTATTTCTATACTCAAGGCTCGAATCCAAAATATCTAATTTAGAAAAAAACAATCTCATTCATTTGCAGTGGATCATTTGATTGTCCAACAACATAATCAAATTTAAGAAGGTTCAATGTATGATAGCTCCTTAAATTACATATTATTTAATGATTAAATTATTACATATTTTAATTAAACATCTAAATATATAATAAACTATTTTTTATTAAACCCATCAATCTCAAAATTTGAAATTTATTTTATGCTATTTTTCAAATACCAATCAAATAGTTTTTTTTTTAATAAACATAATTTTTTTTCCTACCAAACACACCTAGATATTACCATGATGTATGGTAAAATAAATAAAATCATTTTTTCATTAGGGATCTCAAATTCTAGTTTAGAAATGAATAATGGATATGAATAATGAGTTCATATCTATTTAAACTATGATCAATATTTTAAGATATGAGTAGTAGTATATTTTTTCAAGTGTAATAAAATTTGAAGAGTGGTATTTGTCTTTTTCTTTTTGTTTTCTTTTTCACCGAAGAGTGGTGCTTGTCGGAAAAATAAAAGAAAAGTAAAATCTAGAATGGAGATATGACTTTTCTCGTCAATGAACAGTGAACACTCCCCCATTAGTCGCCCAGTTTCGTTACACTTTTTGAAAGCCTCGGATTCTCTATTTCTCTTCACACCTAACAAAAATCTCGACCCTCTAGGGCTTTGCTTCAATGACGATTTCTCTTACGGCAGTTGTACTACTGATGACGGCGGTGTTGATGCTTTCCGTTGAGCTTGCCGCCGGATATACATTCTCGTCGAGGTTGATTCACGGGTTCTCAGATGAAGCGGTGTCGTTTTGGGCATCTAAAGGGAAGAGTATGACGTGGCCGAAGCGCGAGAGTGTGGAGCATATGAGGTTGCTACTTAGTAATGATTGGAAGCGACAGAGACTGAAGCTTGGTTCGCAGAAGCAGCTTCTGTTTCCATCTGAAGGAAGTGAAACTCATTTCTATGGAAATGACTTGAGTTGGTTAGTAATACTGCTTAATACTATCAGTTTAAGAGATTTATTAGAAATTGAAGCTTATAATGCGCAATGCTGTAGTGGATTTTGAGTTTTTTTTTTTTGTTCTTTCAATTACTGTTGCATAAGGAGTCAATTATTTTTGCTTATGACATTCAAGTTTTAGTTGAAAAAGCATAAGATAAGTGACCTCATAGTTGCTGTCCTCCAGTGGGGCTTTGGGTACTCCCTCTTAGATATGTGAAAGAAATGAGCTACTAAAATCATCGAACTTTTTCCCCAACTGAGCAATGAGTTGAATTGTTTTTGGAAGTTAAAATCTTGGTGTTGTTGCCTCCTTGAATAAATACTCTTCTAGATTGTCCATGGTTGAAATATTGAAATGATACAAGTTGGTCACATGTTTTTCTCCGTGCCGTTAAGTCATTTTCTTGACAAGTGCCAAGCCTCATAGTAAGTTGTCTTTAGGAATCTTGAAGAGATCTCCTTTCCCCTTTTATTTTAGTAGTTGGCTCTTCTTTTAGAAAATTAAAAAAACCGAAGCCCCTATATGCTGGGAACAAGAAAAAGCTATGTTGAAAAATAAGAATAAGAATGCTAAGCTCTTTAACAATATTAGTATATGAACACGGCAGTTCCACCTTTCTTGACAGGTCACCTTTTCGAACATGCCCTTTAGTATGGAGCTCGGGGCTTTTAGATTCATGTGATGGTGGGTGATTATGTTCCCTTGTCTCCCCTAGAGGGGAGTAGTGGAAGTGTTGGAGAGTTTGTTTCATCTTTCCTTGACGAAATGGATGTTGTAGGAGAGGTTGGAAGGGGGGATTTTGCAATGATGGTTTGTTTGTGTGCAAGGAAGGTCTTTCCTTCCTCTTTTCATTGCTTGACTATGTTTGCTTTGCAAGGAAGGGAAGCTCAACCAAAAATCCAAAACCTTCGACAATTCAAACAGTGATAGTATGAATATTGCATCAAATATTTTGTCGAGATCTTTGCCGAGTAAAAGAATTCTTTTTTTCTCAAGTTCTAATCAAGTGTCTTGATTGTTCTGGATTACTATTATTCAGGCTGCATTATGTGTGGATTGACATAGGGACACCAAATGCATCATTTCTTGTCGCGTTGGATGCTGGAAGTGATCTGCTCTGGCTCCCTTGCAATTGTGTACAATGCGCTCCATTGTCTTCAAGCTACTACTCAATGTTGGTAGGTTGCTAATGCTAAATGTTGCATTTGACTGTTTATTCTTACTGGTAATATTTGACCTTTCTTTTGTTTCAAAACACAAGCGTGGTTTTGAAACTACCATCAACTTAATTCCAAGGGCGAAGTCACCTTCACTTACAGTGGGACGGCTGGGACCACTAAAATATTATAGCATGCTTAATTTAATTTGATGTAGTTACTCTAAAGGAAGATATATAAACATATAAACTCTTACAACATCAATTGTGCTCTGCAATTTTTCTATTCAAGTTAAAGCTACTTGTGCATTTGATGCGTTGTGCAACCTCAAAGCCCAAGCTTCTACGGTCTTAACTCTTCGAGTTACTGCTATACCCTGATATATTATCCAGGAACCTCAACATTTTCTTTCTGGAAGGCATTGATTTTCGTTTAAAGATATGCCAACTAGTAAAAGGTTTAATGATTTTAGATTTTGTTGCATCTCGCAGCTTCCTCTGTCAGTCATTTTCTGTTTAAGTAAAACATTTTTATTTTAAGATATGGAGGGTTCAAGGTGTAGAAAATTAGTTTTTTCCTACTTCAAATTCTTAGACTGATTTGGGCATGTACAATTTGACTGGTTCATCTCTTACTGAACAAATAGAAAAGCCATTTTTACTTTTCTTTTATAGCTATTAAAACTCATTATTCAGTTGAGTTAATTAATCTCTTATCAGTGAAGCATTTAAAAGTGACAGTGTATCTCATCATGTGAACAGTTTTAGCAGTTAATTCTCCAATGATTGATTGGCAGGTGCTCCCTTGTATTTGGGGCATCTATTATGCAGGATAAAGATCTGAATGAGTATAGCCCAGCACGATCAAGCAGTAGCAAGCATCTATCTTGCAGCCATCAATTATGTGAACTGGGTCCTAACTGCCGGAGTCCAAAGGAACACTGCCCTTATACTGTTAACTACTATTCTGAAAATACATCAAGTTCGGGTTTTCTTTTTGAGGACCAATTGCATTTGACTTCAGTTGGTGGACATGAACATCAAGGTTCTGTGCTAGCTCCTATTGTTATAGGGTATGTTATTTTTTCCAGTTCTGTATTATTGTAAGTAGGATCAGCTCAATGGCTTTGTGACAAAAGAAGACTTGATAGACCTACTTTATGAGTTCCATTAAGAGCGAGTTTGTAGGTGCCTTAGCCGAATGTTACAAAGGATTCTCCAATGAGAAGATTTGACCCTTGAACCTTGACACCTTTTATAGCTGTCTCAGTTGTGACTATTTATTTTTGGCAATATGATTAGTCGCCTAGCTGCTAGTTGTCAAGTTACAGTATTTACCAGTTGGTTGATGAATGTGGTTTTCTTTTACCTATTAACTAATTGCAGCTGTGGTAGCAAACAAAGTGGCAATTATTTGAGTGGAGCTGCTCCAGATGGGTTGATGGGATTAGGGCCAGGAGAAATTTCTGTTCCAAGTTTGCTGGCGAAGTCTGGATTTGTTCCACACTCATTCTCATTGTGTTTTGGAAAGAGCAATTCTGGCACAATTTTCTTTGGTGATAAAGGGCCTGAAAATCAAAGACGAAGTTCATTTGTATCTTTGGATGGAAATTAGTATGTATCTCCTCTATTCTTTTGTGCTATGTTTAGTTTGATAGGCAAATTAAACAACTTCATTTGCACATTTATCTTATGTTCCTACTCTTAATTTTTACCAGCAATACCTATGTTGTTGAAGTTCAACATTATTGTGTTGGGGGTACCTGTCCAAAGCAAAGTGGATTTCAAGCCTTAGTTGATAGTGGGTCTTCCTTCACTTTTCTCCCTTCTGAAATCTTTACAAAAGTAGTAACTGAGGTACAAATATCATTTTTCTCTTGTCCTTGCTATTCCCTTTTAAACTCTTTTGGTTTCACAAGTTACTCTTTTGCTTAGATTTAGAATGCACATGCAGTTTTTTGCTGTATCTGAGCTATTTCCTATTTTTTCTCTTCTAGTTTGAAAAGCAAATGAACGCTACAAGGTTAGCTATAGAAGATTTTCCTTGCTGCTATAAGGCTAGGTAAAGTCTGCTCTCGTGAAAATGCTGTTTTTTGTTTTATTTACTTGTAGATTATTCTCCATATGCTCTTTTTATGCAGTTCACAAGGTTTACTGAATATTCCTAGCATGAAACTTTTGTTAGCTGCTAATCAGAGCTTTGTAATTCAGAACCCCATGTTTACCATCTCCAGTGGTCAGGTCAGTATCTGAATCTCTTTGCTTTGTCATCATCCTGCAAATTAATCTTTTTTCTTGAGGCATGGAAGATTTAGCTGCAAGATATTTTTCTTTGAATGAGCTGGTAACATGCGATGCATATGCATGCAAACTCACTTGCATTTATATGAAGAAGTTAGTGCACCCAAAATGCAGAAACTGACTCAGGTCTTAATCTGAAATTAATACTATCTGTACCTTTATCTGTCAATTTGAGTACTTCCTACTTTTCTTTTTCAGGAAAAAAAGTACTCCCTATTTTTCATTTTGTGTCTGGTA